CAGCTACTTGATTTCGCGAGAACACGTTCGACCTTAAGCAGATGTCCAGCAACTACAATATACTCGAGAGTGCTGTGAAGAAGACCATTCAGCCTTTGCTGAGAATGAACGCTATGTTGTTTAAAAAGATTGACAGGTGCACGCAGCGCGACAGTAGTTCCTGCGGTGCTCTTTGCCTTGTCGTGCTGGAGATACTGCCTGCTGGCGCGGAGTGGGATGAGGGAATGTACAATTTGGTGCCGTATCTACGTATGCGATATTTTTTAAGGTGCTCAGCGCGACACAGATAGCTGTAGATATCTATGAAGAGTAGATAAGATCCTTGTTAATGTGTTATCAAGCGTGGGAATAGCTACATTAGAAAGTCACTTCACGTTACTTGCATTTAACTTTCTTGACGATCTTTTTGGTTAGATTTTGTTGCTAAGCCGGAAGTTCACCGCATTCTTACGTCAATCCCGAGGTGCACTGTTCGATGATGAAAATCACTAAGTCGTACAGTTCCTATATATCGAGAAAACGAGGACTTCCGCCTACAGACACCTTCTATATCTTGCGCCCAAGCTCCATACTGTGCAGTTAATGCACTACTACCGTTTAATTCTGTTTAGAGGACTCGTGATGTGTGTATCGTTTTAATAGTGGCCTCTACAGTTTCCGGTAGCAGCAACACCAGCCTGCAAATCAATTAAACCCATGCACATATGTGAAGTACCGTGTACCTGAGCAGCTAATATCTGAGGATGATCATACTAAAAAACTGAAATAAACAATTTACCTATGTTTGGTACGGAGTCTCTTCCGCCCGACTGCATACATGCGCAAATACTAACTAAGGTCGTAATAAAACGACTCATTTCCAATTTCACCCTACCGAAGTCGTCGCCACCATGGCACCGTCACGAACGAGACCTCAACTTACACAGGAAGACGAAGATCGTGAAGCTCGAGCCCGCTGGGACAGCCTATTTGTAGCGGCAGACGCACGAGAGCGCGCGATATCCCGCGTTAAAATAATTCCCACTATCGTCGACAGTGACAACGAGTTGTTCACACCAGCCCCTAAGTACGAGCACGCTCTCACCACCCAAGGTCCCGAACGTGTCCTCAAAATGTGCAATTTCTCGCCACGCGAGTTTGATCAACTCTGGGATGTTGTCGAGGACCATGTCTTGTCGAAATGGAATGTAGGCCGTGGAAAGAAGAACCCGAACTCCCCCAAGGACGTCCTCTTCATGACACTAGCTGCCCTTAAACACTGTGGAAGCTGGGACACTGTTTCCGGTATGTTTCAGATGGATCCATCACCATTTCAGAAGATGATTAAGAAGTTCCTGTCCATGCATGAGCCGTATATGTACGAAACTTTCGTAACAGACGCCGAGAACCGCTGGACAATGAGGGAGTTGACGCTCACCGGAAACACATTCAAACATTTTCCCTGTGCTCGCTACGCAACTGCTGTAACATTCCAGCATGCTGACAGACCCGCGGGCAGCTTCAACGACGTTAAGAAATTCTACAGCGGGAAACACCACTTATATGGACACAAGGTGGGGGTTTCCGTACTTCCTATAGGATTGGCGATTAACTGCACGCTGTGGGCCCCCGCTGCAAAGTCAGACTACAGCGTGTTCTTGGACAACGAGAAGTTCCACCGGTCGGCAATGCAGAAGCTGGAAGATGAAGGGGATCTCAACGACGAAGGGCCAGCTCAAGATCGTTTCAAAAGTGATTGGGCTATACTAGTGGATAAAGGGTATCAAGGTCTGCAACGTAGATTCCATACTATTCAGCCCAAAAAGAAAGCGCGTGGCGCACCTCCTCTTTGCGGTGCAGAACTCGAGGAAAACGACCGCATATCCCACGACCGGGTGATCGTAGAGAACTTCTTCGGCAGATTGGAAAAGTGGTGGGGAGTCTGTTCCCAAAAGTGGACATGGGATAGAAATACCTACAACATGTACTTCCGGTCCTGTGTGGCGATAACGAATTATCACATCAGTTGCAACCCGCTACATCGAGATGATACTGTGTTTCACAGGCGCCATGAATCACGCTTGATCCAAATCGGGGCAGAGGAAGAATAAGCGAGGAAGAGAAAACGCGAAGAATACCGTGACAACCGGCGTGCTCGGCTTGAAATCACACCTCGGCGGATAAGACGATGCCGAAGCGTTGGTAGTCAACGGGCGAGCAATAATGGGAGCCAAGCTGCTAGTCCATGCAGCACAGAGTATGGATCAAGCTAAGTTTTGGCTTTCGCTATGTTGCATAGTTCACTACTTAGTACTCTACCGTTGGAAGCCTGAATGCGCTGTAGACATGCAAAATTCCAAATTCATATAGTAAATTCACAAATCAACGTTTACATTTTTCATTGAGTTGGTATGAATCATCTGGTTGCCACAATTCTACGTCATATAAGTAAAGTCAGCAGTGCTTTGTATCTCGTCGCGTACTTCGTTGGGTTCTAATGTAATAAGGAGTCTCGTCTTGGACTTTCTGGTCGGTTTTACCGATACAACTTAAACATTAAATGAGACCGCCCCAAACAAAATGAGTCTTAGCTAAATTTATTACAGCTGCGATAATTGCCTTAAAGAGTCAGTTCAACTATCGTCCCCAAATCAGACGATTTTCCAGGAGACCGTTTCAAAGGTTTGTAGCCAATCGTATGTAAAACTTAGGCTGCACGCACTAATTTCAGTTTGGAAATACGACTAAATCGACAAACACATGCAATGGCTTCAACCGCTCTAAGCAACACCAATAGGGATCTGGAACGCGATGTACCCGCAAACAGTATCGCCAGTGATGCCAGTGACACCAGCGACTGGGATACGGTGTCTGCCCAAGACAGCAGCAGCGACGGCGAGACATCCAGCCCAGAGCCTTTGGTAACAGAGAGAACAAAGCTAATACTAGCTACAGCATGCTGTTCAGACCTTTGCCTCGGCCGAAACGTAGAAGCTTCAACTGCGTTCCTGTACGGCTACATAGGAATGAGCAAAGAGAAACCAGCGAGTGTGTTTAATGACTTCCTTGGGAATAATTTCTTCTTATCAGCTTCAAAAGGTGTCAAAGAGCGCGAGAGGTATGACTACATTGCTCCTATGGCGGGTCGAGTGTGCAAAAAGGCATTTCAAGCAGCATTCGGGGTTAGCAATAACGCCCTAACCAAGTAAGTGATCAATAACTTTCTGCAACTGGTAAAGTCACTATTTTCTTTTCCTCAGATTTCGTGGAATAACCTCAAGTAATAAAGTCAATGTACCTGATCACAAACACAGCGGTAATAAACTCGCCCAAGTTATTAACCGTGATGATATCGCAAGTTGGTTCCGTGGATATGCCGATGAAGTTGTAGATCTTTACGGCGAAAACCCGATGAGGTATTAAGCGCTGGCGACATAGCTGAATTTTGGACTTCAATCCAGACAGCCACCCCTCCCCTCGTCAATAAGAAAAAAGTTGTGGACCTGCACAACAATATACTGCAATATGTTCCGCCTCAATATCGTGATGACCCCCTATACTTAGTTCCTAGTGAGCAGGAAATTCAAACAATTCGCGTCAAGAAGAGTACACGACGAACCGAGACTGAACAGGAATGATAAACAGTTTTGCTAAAATGTAGCAATAAATATAAACCGTACACTAAAATGAGTAAAATTAAATAAAAGGAAGGATTTAAAAGCTAATCCGTGATTACGACTGTAATTTTAGGCAAGTATACTACCTGTTGCTGCGATATACAGAATGTTACCCTATGAATTTGACTATTGTAAAGGCATATTCGGAATCTATACACCAAGAGCCATCAGGACATGTACAATTTAAAAAAAGTACTTTTTCGTCAAGATAGAGAGTTGATTTCTGAAAGGAGGGCTTCTGTCTTTGAATTAGCAAATTTGGTCGGAATTCACAATACCTAAATTTTGTAGAATAGAAATGGTCAACGTATCTTGAACGGTTGCCGTTGGCCGTTGGTGTGGCCATCAGAACGGCTCATCAGGACGGTCGCGCATGGCCGGAAAGAAGAGCAATGCCATGGCCGCGAAATACCCGCGCGCTAACGCACTGGTGGGGTCGGTGCTCAACAAGTACCACAACGGCTCGGAGCGCGCCGTAGACTCGTTCGTGATCCGCACGCTAAAGGAGCACGAGCCCAGGCTATTGGGCATTCAGTGTTTCCTGGATCAGGTAATCCCAGAAAATGAGAGGAGCTTGAGTATAAAAACTGAAGCCAACTGGTATACTCAGGGGCCGGCGGAGAACAGTCGACGTATCAAGGACGAGTCCCATGTGGCACAACACACCCCGTGTGCATCGGGCGTGTTCGGGGTGCTCTCGGTATGTGGAGGGCTTTTCGGGCCAGGTGCCATCATGTGAGTGGCTGAGAGCTTAAGCTGTATGTGCAATGGAGACTAATTTGCTACTGCTGCTGCTTCTCTTAGGCGACAATGGGATGCGTGCAGTGGAACGGAGGGAGAACCCGACGACAGAGAATCGGCGATGACCGAGTATGTGGCGACAGTGGATAAAATACTCCCGGGGTGGGACGAAGCCGTGCCGAATCATCCTGTAGCGAGTCCAGACAGATTCTGGGAGGATGACGCCGCTGCAGCTCAGTGTCCGCTGTGCTCTGTCGTCTTCTCGGTGCGTGAACGTCGCCACCATTGTCGCTTGTGCTTCTCGATCTTCTGTGCCGGCTGCTGCAGTCACGTTTTGGAGATCGCGTTGTGTCCTGGGGCGCCACGGCGGTCGCAACGGGTGTGTACGCCGTGTTTCCAGGCGGAATACCGAGCTCAGCAGCTTCGTAAAGCGAGGAAGATTAGTCGAGAAAATCAAGAGCTAGAGCAGAGGATTCGTGCAGTCCTCGCTACAGCTCGGCATTCATTTGCTGCTAAGCAGGAGGAGGAGCAGAAGCTACGGTCATTGGCCGTCGACGCTGGCTGCGACGTACAGGCTCTAGATGAAGCTATTCAGAAACAACACGGTGGCTCCCTTATCGGGTCTGCTCCAATGGAGATACCGATCCCGCCAGCAGCACACCGGTTTGCGTCTGCTCACACCTCAGTGGAAGCCTCGAACCAGCTCGCATTGGCACATCGACAGCTAACGATGAGCTTTAAAATGGCCCAGTGTCGCGCACACAAAGTTCTCGACAAAATGGACGCGACAATCGCAGCGTTGCAAGGCGCTTTGATCGCTCAAAGAGCGCCTAGCAACAAGTCGCCTCCCTCTGGCCACTCCGAAGACAACGGATGGAGGGTGATGATTCGACACACAGATAGCTTCTTGACCTCAACCGATCGAGAGGCGCTCCAAGTTGTTTCGGAGGATCTTTGCACTCAGCCTCCTTCCCCGGAGCAGTAGTCCAGTTGACTGCACTTCTTCCGTAGATCCGAGCATCGCAGTGCTTTGGTTGACTGAATGCCTGAAGGACAATCGGACGCGAACTTTCGTTGCGGATTTGGCTGAAGCCGTGCAAGCACTATTGGATGCATCCTCGGGCTCGGATACTGAAGACTCGGACGCGAACGAAGCACCGGTGTCTATGTCACGCCCCTCGTGGGAGAAGCCTGCTCAAACGGATCCACCTACGAGTGTTCCATCGGTCCCATCGTCGATGGAACTGGAGAAGGCGTACGAGCTAATTCGCTCTCAGTGCGAGACAGGCCCAGCGTCGGAATGGGACGAACAGATCCGTCTGGATGTAACTCGAACCTTTGGCATTTCAGCTCGCCGGCAGCATCGCAAGAGCGTAGATCCAAAGTCGCGTACTGTATGCAACTCAGCTGGGATCGCTATCCCTGTGGAGAAACGACGATCTGCTCTTGAAAATGTTCTTCGAGCTTGCGCGAGTGTGGACACAGATGTGGGGTACTGCCAAGGCATGGATCATGTTGCAGCGCTAGTACTTGCTGTGAGTGACTGGAACGAGGCACGCGCCTTCTGGTTTCTCGTCAGCTTACTGGCATCACCACGATTCGAACTCGAGAGGCTCTATGGACCGGGACTGCCCCACCTCAGTCTGCGTTGCTTTCAGGTAAGATATCCTTTCACAAAATTGATATATTATCACGAGACAATTAATAGTATTGTTATGTGCAGTTGGATCGTCTTCTAGGAATTCATCTTCGCCCGCTATGTGAACACTTTCACACTATCGACTTTCCCATCAGTATCGTCGCCACGGGGTACGTTCGACCTCTTTTTTAATGGGATAGAGACTCAGATACTAAGTTGTTGTCACCACTTTTCATTCTTCTGTCAGGTGGTTTATGACGCTCTTCACGAACATGGAAGCACTCTCGTACGATGTGGTGGTGCAGGTCTTCGAGGGTTTTATTTTCAAGGGGTGGAAGCAGCTCTTCCAAACAGCCCTTGCCATCCTACAAGATCTTCAAGGTCCCATACTCGCCAGCAGCTTTGACGAGATTCCTCGACTCTTCTATGACATTCAGGAGTATGCGGTGAGTTTCTACGACTATCTTTGTGATCATATCATCGTAACTCACCACATCTTGTTACTCTGTGACGTGGCAGCCTCGGCTTATGGACGCGGAGTACGTCCTCGCGCAATCAGCAAAGTTCGAGGTGTCTGATCGCCTGCTGAAGCGCCTGGCAAAGGAATTCGAACAGATAGCGGAAGTACCAACGACGAAATCGTTAGCAGCTAGAAGAGACGAGTTGAGGAGTGAAAAACTCGCAGAGCCTCGCAACAGCAGTCAATCTCCTCAGAGAACCAGAGCATTATCACCGCCGTCGTATCCGCGACCCGAAGACCCAAAGACGATGCTCCCACTCAAGAAAGACAGCGTTTCCAAGGCGCCCTCTTCCACAAGACACGCATCACCGTTGCAAATGCAATCCACTGCTGTTTGAAGCCAAAGTCAGTGATCTGCGTACAGTACAATAGTGAAGAATACGGCATACATTGACAGTGCTAGCTGCATAGCCTAAGCCTACAGCTTTCGTAGGTTCAAAAAGCCTTGCGCTTCCTCATCGATATCGTACGAAATCGCCACTAATGCTCTCGCCGGTAGCGTGAGAAACACTTCCACCGATAGGCCCGCAACGATACCGGCACTGTGGTGAAGACGCTGGGCACCACACGACGTCGCTTCCCTGCCTGGTGCTGTGCGCTTGAGCACCGCTGGCTCTCCGTTCACAAGCACTTGGATAGCGGGGCTGTAGTTGGTAAAGAACGCCGCTTGAAGATGATACAGCCCAGGCAGTAGTATCCTCACTTCGTCAGAGTGAAGTTGCCAAAGAAAATATCGGCGTTTGGTGTTGACAACCTGAGAGCTCCACTGGAATCGTTTGCTTTCGCTGAGATGGCCATCATTCCAAGACCTGACACACCGCAGTTTTTGTCAGTCATGATTTCCCTTTACAAGTGGGACAAGCCAGTCCTTACGTAGCGTGCCTGGTAGATCTCACTGTGGAGTTGCCGTGTGATCGCTTGCATCTGTGGGTTCAACTTTTGTAATTGATTTTTGGTCGCAAACTTATCCACCGCAGCCTTTTCCACTTGCTTCCTTACCTCTTGCAGTGCGTTCATCGTCGACTGGGGCGTCCAGCCAGTTCTGGCACATCCGCAACAGTGATTTTCTTATTCACTTTGCCGATGGAGCGCCTTCAACTCCTGCT